ATGCAGTAGGCAAACTTATAAGTGAGGCTTGTTCAAGCCTTCTGCTCGCAATTTTTAAGTTTGCCTACTTTATCGCATCATACGATAATATATTAATGTCAAAGTTCTTGCAGGCTATTTTGCTAGAAATGCCTGGTAAGTAGCGGTGGGTAGTCGGATCGGGTGTTTTCGTGCGTCATGGGCCCGGAAGGAAATAAGACCTTTTTTTCCAAAAAAAAAAAAAAACCTTGCGTGACTTTTTCGTCACTGAAACATCACTTGAAGCAACCGATACCTCATAGGAAAGTTTCGTATTAGTCCCGACGAATGAAGGTATTGTCTGCGCAGAGAGGAGACTCTTTGTGCGACGTATGTAGGCCTATTATAAAAGTTGCTGACTCTCGCGACATTTTACGTTGAATGAGTCAGTTTCGATACCAAGGAGCTGTACAGCATACTTGATCAACGACATACTCAGTCACTGGTCGGCTAATTGTACTCGGTACCTCGAATGTACTTTGTGCATGGGTTACCTGACAAAAACGAACCGGCTGCCGAGGCCAAAAAAAATATCTTCGGTTTCTGGTTCAAAAAGTGGTAACGAGACGGGGTCTTTTTTGCCCTCAGTTTTTTCTCCTTGAAATGATGCACGCACGTGCGCTTGCAATTGTATGTGCAGTACGCATCGCGCGCCGCTGGTAGACTGGCCCCCTCACTATTTACTGTTCGGCGTTGCCAGCTATAGATGGAGATGGAACATAAGATCACCTCGTTTATCTGGGCCCAGATTCAAACGTATAATTAGAAATGACGTCATCTGAAAGAGGGGCTCCTGTACAATACATATTACTCAACCGTGCCCCATCTAAAACCCGTTAATTAAAGTTACGCAGTAGCAGGATTCCAGTCAGTCAAGCAAGTTTGAATGCTTTTGGACATCATTTTATACAAAATGAAAAAAACTGTTTATTTTGCCGACGCGCAGGTCTACGGCGACCAGAAACCGGAGACTTTTTTGGCCCAACAGAATAAGCATTGGCCGAACTATGGACTCGCCTCGCGTCTTTGACTCAAACGGCCTTTTGAATTTCGTAATTTACATGTACTTCAAGTTGGTAATGGGGCAAAAACACGATTTGTCTAATTTGCTGTTGGTAATCTTTAACACGTCAGGTACGCCAAGTTTCTGGCTCGTTTCTGGTATGTAATGGGCCTCGTGGTGCTCGTGGTAGTCACTGTATTGGCCGTTGTGACCTTCAAGGTATACGACCTCCCAGATTTCCCTGATCCGTCTAAGGTAAGTTCACGTCGTTCTCACTAGCAACGAAAATATAGATTTGCGGGGTTTCATTAAAACTGCCTTGGCCCCTGAAAGGCTATTTTGATGGTGCGTAAATTTCGATGGGCCCGCTGACTGTAATACGCCGGAAGGGTACTGAAACAATGAAAACGTACACTCGTACATGTAAGCTTGGGTAACGGCAGTGCATGTTTCACCTGACACTGCGTTTTCTGGTAAGTGAAATTTCATGCTTATCGTGCGCGTGTCAAATTACTGACGATACCATTGTGATTCTGTAAGAAATAGCCATACGTTGAACATTTCGTCAATTAAAAGTTTGTACATTAACTGTTTTAAGGAAAGAAGGTAGCCGCATTCAGCGTCAAAAGTCAGTGGGAAAAATCCAAGACGGGAGAGGCAGAACTCTTCAGTGATCTTCACACTTCCTGCATTTTGTAGGGATTTGAAGCCAGGGGAACGCTTATCACATCTCGGTTGTTCAGCATCGACAACCTTAAGCGACATGCAGATGACTTGCTGGTAACGGATCCCTCTGATGATGTTCAAGACGAAAACCGTCGGTATGCCCCTTCTCGTACCAAGCGGCAAGCGAGCAACCGGACTTACTCGGGCATTAAGTTCTGCACCTCATTATGTAAGTCATAATCCGAACATTTGCACTGGTTTGTCTGTGTCAACTGTCGTTTCTGATAGTTCTTTACAATAAACGGCTACGGCTAGATATCGATGTGGCCCGCTTGGGCTAACAAGGCAAGCCGTAATACAAAGATGGCGCGACGCAAAGGATTGTGGCAGAATACGAAATACAGTGAAAATGAATATACACGGATATTGCACAACTGTCTGGCAACTCTCCTTTTGCTTTTTGGTCATGGTAGTTTCAAAGAAGAGACTATGGAGAGGCGTAGGTTTTGGATGCAATTCTCGAGCGAAAAGAAATCGTTTGGGAGATGAAAACCGTGAAATGTGCTTGAACTGGTTTTTGTTTCCTTCATTATAATTATGCAGGGAGTTCAAGGGGGTACAGTACAATGGTGTTTGAGGCAGTAGATGAAACAAATATACTCACACTGGATGCCATTAAGTCAGTTTGCAAAGCGGAGAGGCGACTGGTGACGTCTCATCCGTTGTACCAAGCCAACTGCCTCTGCCACGGCGAAGGGAATGGAGAATGTCCCACTTGGTCTTTAGGAAACTACGCAGCCTTGCTCGCTAACAAGACATCCTGTACAGAAATTGAGCAAGAAGATGTGATTCGCCTCACCGACTTGTTGACGTTGTGCGCACCCTTTCTCAGTAACTGGACCCAAGGTCACGGGAATGTTCCCCCTGAGTGTGGCCAACACGACCACGCTGCCTTCGCGATACTTTATTACCTTCTCCCGACAGAATTTAGCCAGAGCATCGACAGCAAGACGGTCGCCCCGAGATCGCTAATTTGTGCAGTTTTGTATCCCATCGACTCAGGCAAGGATGATGTCTTGGAGACGATTTATGAGGAAAGTGTCGAAAGGAAAGCAACTACAGACGGGATAACGAGGTTGAAAGCGGTAGACTTCTCCATCAAATACAAGTTGTTTAAGAAACAGCTGTATGCCGATAGTGTCTACATGGGCATATCGGCTGGAGCCATATTTCTCTTGATTTGGCTTTACACTGGCTCGCTCTTGGTATCCCTGGCCGCCTTTCTCAACATGATGTTCTCGCTGGTGATGGCCGACTTCTTCTACACAGTTGTCTTTGTTAGGCCTTTCTTTCCCTTCGTCAATCTCATTGCAGTGATATTGATGCTGGGAGTCGGGGCAGACGACACATTCGTATACGTGGATCTGTGGAAGAAATGCTTATCGGAATTGGGCGATCGAGATTTGCCCAGGCTTGTCTACGAGACGCTACGTCATGCCTCGGTTACCATGCTCGTGACGAGTTTAACCACTGCCGCCGCCCTCTACGCGACGGCCTTCAGCCACATCATAGCGGTCAGGTGCTTTGCCGTGTTTGCCGGCACGGCCATCATCATGAATTTTGTGTTGACGATGACGCTCCTCCCAGCCGTCGTCGTCATGCAACACAAGTTGACTGCGTTGTGTTGTTCACTGAAGATTTGCTCTGGGTTACGCCAGTGTAAAGGTGGCTGCTTAGAGATCCTCTCGCACCGTGTGAAGATGATTTACGAAGAGCTTATTCCCTCTCTCGTTTTGAAGTTGAGATATGCATGGATTATCCTTTTTTTGCTGTTGATGACAGGAGGCGCAGTTGTAATCTTTTACTTTCCGCGTTTCCGACTCCCTTCTAGTTCTGATTTCCAGTTCTTCGTATCTTCCCACTACTTTGAACAGTTCGATTTTGTGTACAGAAAGCAGTTTTCATTTTCCAAGGAGACCTTTTCTGATTCCTGGGGCTCGGTCGTCTGGGGAGTCCAGGCGGTGGACAATGGCGATATGTGGGACCCAGACGACCGAGGAACTCTCGCGTTGGACGATGGTTTCGAATTCTCCAGTCCCGAAGATCAGGCCTGGCTGTTGGGATTTTGTCAAGACCTACGGGAAGCAGAGTTTTACACGGCTGATACGCTGGATTGCTTCATTGAAGGATTTTGTTGATATCATGCAGAGTGAAAGCTGCGAAAGCTTCGGAATAGACCTCTCTCCTTGTTGTAACCAGTCTTTATCAACATATAGCCCCTTTCTCTTCAAAACTTGCATCGCTAAACTTTCCGAACTCTTGCCCTCTTATAGGCCGGTATATTTTCGCAAAACAGACTCCAAACTCGCTGTCATTCGACTCAATTTTCGGACGCACTTTCCAAACAGCTATAATTTTTCCCGGAATGATGGGTTTTGGAGGACAGTGAACCCATGGGTGGAGAGGATGCTAAAGTCGGCGCCTGGATCCCTTAGACGGGGCTGGTTTATTTCCCCCTCGTACGGGATGGAGTACTACGATCTGCAACAGAGTCTTGCAACCGGAACCCGCACATCGATGCTAATCACCCTGGCAATTGCGTCCGGGATCCTTCTTTTGTCGATACAGAATCTCTTACTGACTCTCCTGGCCATGCTGACCATAACGAGCGCCTTGTTCGTCACCGTGGCAATTCTTGTTCTCCTCGGCTGGGAGTTGAACATTGTTGAGGCTACAATCATCACCTTGGCTGTGGGGCTGTCCGTGGATTTCACCATTCACTACGGGGTCGCTTACAAACTCTCCCCTAGTGACAGCAGAAGGCAACGGGCACGTTACTCGCTAAGTACCATGACCCCGGCCATCAGCTTAGCAGCATTCTCAACGTTCCTTGCAGGCGCTTTGGTTCTCCCGTCTACGGTGTTGACTTACCACGAGTTTGGGGTCTTTTTGATGATGGTCATGACTGTAAGTTGGATGCACGGCACTTTCTTTTTCGAGTCTCTCTGCATGGTGATTGGCCCTCAGGGATCGTGCGGTGGCATCCCTCGCCTGTCTTGTAGTTGCTGCTGCAAAAGAATGCACAATATGCCGCCTAGTGGTGACCAACTGGAGCAGGAACAGGCAAGACTGGAGATTTACGACAACCCGGTTACATCGAATGTGTTTGAGGACGAAAGTGGTCTCGGAATGATACTCGATTAGGTCATATCCCCTGATCAACCTACCTGCGTTATCAAAAGGACTTAGAGTTAATGCGCAAATTGAGTTTACAAAATAACATATGGTTAAACCTGTGGTGGTGAAATGGACCAGTAAAATTTCAGCTGTCGGTCATGAAAATGTATGAGCAATGGGATTTGTTTACACCTTCAGCCTTGCGCACACGAACCAATGCGCGCTTCTTTAAAGTGCCTACCATAGAGATCGTAGTAAAGCTGGAGGTGACGGGCATATACGGGCGATTCACTATACTGCGCCTCCAAGAGTTTGCAACGCGTTGGCCAATCACAGCACGCCAAAATCTGTCTACCCTTTCCAAACCCGCATTGGGTTGACAGATTTCTCGAAACGGGCGATTAACGTTCGTGCGCCTCCAAGAGTTTGCAACCCGTTCGCAAACAAAATTCGCGCGTTGTGATTGGCCAACGCGTTGGAGGCGCACTGTTGTGAATCGCCCGTATTCTTTAAGGGTGTATTCCACCAAATCGTTGGATTTCTGCGGGCGAGCTCATTAATATTTTGTGATCCTATGGAAATTTTTCCAATAAAACAGGCCATAATCAGGAGGGATCATAGAAATATTTCTATAAATCCCGATTTGGGACTGATAGTTTCCAGTTCGGGGTATTTCTTTCACAAAAGCCCCAAATTGCGGGCCTATTTTAGATAGAGGCGGGCGGCTACAGGGAAAGGCGAATAAAAAAAATCGTGGCTAACCCCAAAAAATTGAAACGAAAAGTGATCTTCTGGCCATAACCTTGAATTTCCGGTGAAAAAACCGGAGGCCAACCTCTTCACGAGAGTCAACAGGCGGCGCTAGTTCGGTCTGATTTTGCACTGCTATGGGCGCGTATTAGGCGTAGTGCAACCCACAAGGCCCTCGAGACGAGTGCCAGAAATGTCTAGGCGCATGACGAGTCACGCTGACACCAACTTCATGTACTTGCCGTTGATCTCCATTATTTCTACGAGAAACATATTTTAAAATCGTTCTCTGTAATCTATTTTTAGAAACACTTGTTTTATGATTTTTTTTGACGAAGTTTGTTTTTTGTGAGATATATTTTTTCAAGTAAATTTTCAGGAGATCTACATTATCAGGTTTGGGTTTATTACTCACAAAAACAAACTTCACAAAACATATCTCTTAAAAACAAGCTTTCAAAAAATATATCTCATGCGAACAAATGCTTCCGAAAATAGAAACATTGTTTCTTATAATAGATCACAGAGAACGATCTCCAAAAAAAATATGTCTCGTAAAAACAAACTTTGAAAAAACATATCTCATAGAAACGAACTTTGGATAAAATTTATCTCGTAAACACAGTTTTGGAAAAATATACTTTACTTTTTCAAAAAGTATTCTTGATGGCACTACGGGGCTTTCGTCAGTTGGGTTAAGTATATATGAAAATAAAAGAAGCAGGCCTAATCATTACCTGCAGAGAAACACATCATGCTCACAGTACTGTCCTTTCAATGCAATTACGAAGCCAGCGAAAGTAACTTGACTCAATCGGGTGAGGGCGCTACCCAAAAATCATTATACAGTTTTAAGAGGGCGGGGTGTCACTGAACGGTCATGAATTACACGCTCGTCAAACTTGTTTTTCTTGAAGTTATATAAACTTAGAATTGATTAAATAATTTGCTTGTAATCTTATTTTTACTGGTGAAAATAGCCCTAAAAGTAATTTGCCACATATTAGATTAAGTTGAAACCTTTACGAGAGTAAGATAGGATCGTGGTCGTGCACCTGCGTCCTTTTTTGCAAAAACGACTCGAGTATACACAATACTCAGTTTAATCTATCTTCAATCAAGAATCACGTTCTATAATCTTAACAAAGTTGGTATCAAAGACGTGCTCTCTCGAATGGGCCCTTGTTATGACTACATGTACATGTATATGCGGGGGTACATAATAAAATGTTTCATGCACCAACGGTTTCGAGACTAATCAAGCGGACACCCCTATGGTGCCCTATATCTACCGTCTCCCCACAGGCATCAGGCGTCAGGGTCTTGCATCTTGCGTCCTGGTTAAGTGGTAATTTGATACGTGTGTTTAGCAATGTGCTTCTGCCTTTTGCAGTGCCGGTCATTGTAAAGGCATATGTATGCATTTATTTACGTTAAAATTTAATATACTAAATGGATAGCACCTTAATAGCCTAACTAAAGTTTAAGGGTCATTTGTTTGAAAGTAGGCCCACAAACCAATAAAGTGTAAATTGGGAAGTAAACCACACCCCCGTCCCGCTCAATATAACTCAAAAACATGATGCGAGATTCGAGAGAGATCCACTAGGCGGGAGGTGAGGCGGCGGATATGGAACACCTTAGTTTCCTCGTGCCGTTTGCTTCGGAACGCTTTCACTCAGTTCTCGTGACCGAAGACAAAAATACAGGCCCAAAATTGCCTACGCCAACCAAGGCACAGTTTGTCTGTGCATGCCCTCAATACTTTCTCTAGAGTGCAAAATTTTCTATTCCAGAATAGAAATTTCGACAAGGGCCACATAATGATTGTGCAGTCTGCTCAATAATTGTGTGCACTGTACTTATAATGGATGATTCTCAACTCATGCCGGAAAATGGCAGTGACTGTCAACCATTGTGTAAGCCTTGACGCTGTGGTAATAAAAAATGACACGTACATGGAATACGTAATGAAACAGAAAATGCATGTTGTTTGTGTCAAGCTTGCACTAGTCATTGAATTGAATATAATAGGGTGCGGTTGTGTTGATTCGCAGTTAGTGTTACCTTAGTTTCCGCATTCGTCATGCAGTGTGACATTGAATGGAACTACACCTGGCTTTATTGAGAAAACTGGACAAGCATTGTGACACTGCCAGCAAAAGGTAACATTGCATGAAAAGAACAAAGACTAGGGAATAAGCGCTACCCAGAATGTTCCCGGAAAAAATCGGGGAGTCCCAACATACCTAACGCATTAAATATGCAGAAAATAACGGCTACATAAATTAAGTGAATCGTCCGCGGCGCCCAGTCCTTCGTACCGTCGTTTTGCTGGTGCGGGTTCAGCTGTCATGGTAACTACACCGTCAGACTTGCAAACCTCACGTATATACGTTACTCATTCTCTGTCCTCAAGAAGACAGCATCATGGCCCAGTTTTGGGGACAAAATCACAAGCCTAATTCTGGTATTCGACCTGATGATAGCGCGTGTACTGCTCGGCAGGACATCGAGGCAAACAATATCAACGACAATGCTAATGACTACAGGAAAGGTGGAGTGTGCTACATGTAAGTGGATCATGATTCTTTATCAAACGTACATGTACATTGCACATAACGTGTGTCATAATGATTAAGCAAATCGCCATATTCCAACCCTCATTTTACGCAGCATGGAACACGCATGGCCTTGCACAAACCACAAGTTTTCGAAGTAGGCCGAGGCCTATCGGCTTAACTGTTCGCGCCGAACAAATGAATTGGGAGAGATTCAGTCATTATCTCGAGACATTTTTGTACTTGCATATTATACAAACATAATGGCGATCTATGTGTGAATAATTAACACAGTGACACACCGCGTTGCTGTATTTGGATAAGCTTATTATTGCTGTGTTCTTGAGTTGAGTGTATAAAATCTGCCACATTAAAACACTGAATGAAAAGATGGGATGATGTTACAGATCTTTCTGTAATTCCAACAGCCACACAATAATTTACAGAATGTAAATTCTCTTTATGACCATGTAGGCCTATGAATAAAAGGCTGCATCCGAATCTGTCGTCTCGAGCTCCAATCCCCTCCCCCCAATGTTGTTTCTCAATGCGCGATCGGCGCTGCAGCTCTAGATGACAACATTGACCGTGGGAATGGAGGACCTGGAATGGGTGTGGCTACTGACACCTGTCCCAACAATTTTGTCAAAGATTGTCTAGGCCTATGCGGCAAGGTACTGCTAACTTTACATCCTTGGAGATCACCGATAGGATAACAGAATTCAAGGACTCTAGGTCTCAAATTAAATTGCTTTAAATTAAAGTGTTAACAAACAGAAGTTAAGGGACGTTGAGGTAATAGTGCATAGCATGCTTGTGAATTATCAAAGCACATGGATTAACAATGCCTGCACCCAGGATGGCGTCAAATTTTCTCCGCGTGGAGAATAAAACGTTAGCGGTCTAGTTTGTATAGAGCTCTATGGCCCAAATGCATCATTAAAGAATTTGAGTCTCTCCTGTCC